ATTTTATAAATAAAATTTAAATTTTATAAAGTATTTAATTTAATATTTCGATATAACTATTACATGTAATCTAAAGTACTAATAAGTAAAATTATTAATAGTTTTGTTTTTCTTAATATAAATTTTATATGAAAATAATTATTTTTATTAATATAATATTTAAAAAATAAAGTATTGATATACTAAATTACCTTTTGAATAGCTTTTCTTAGTATTCACAAAAAATCTGATTTGATTTAAATCTGATTCAAATTTAACAAATCAGAATGAATAGATTTATTGGATTTGAATTAGAATCAAATTCAGATTCAGATTCAGATCTGATCTATCAGATTTGAAGTAGATTTTCAGATCAATTGAATTAGATAAAGATCTAAAAACTAAAATTAAAACTGAAATATTTTCTCTAATAAAGAAAATCAATTTTATGATCTTACTCTTTAATAAATGTGATTTTAAATCTTTTTTTTAGAACTTAAATATGTTTCTTTTTATTAAATAGAAATTTTTGGATTTTTTTTTTAAAATTAAAAAATGTTTCACTTTATTAAAAAAAACATTTTGGGTTTTTTTTAGATCAGAATTACATTTTCTTTATAATAGAACAACTTTTCAGTTTTTTTATAATTTGATTTATATTTACTTTATTAAAGAGAAATTTTCAGATCTATTTTTTAGAATTAAAAATATTAAAGAGAAACATTTTAAGTATTTTTAGAAGTAAAATACATTTCACTTTAATATTTTTTTAATTTTAAATTTGGAATCATTAGATTTAGATCTGTATTTATTATATGGAAGGCAGTCAAAAAAAAATAGGAAAATACAAAAATTTTAATTTTTATTATTAAGCCAAATTTGTACACATAATCGAGATCAGCCAAGTAGTTTAATAATATAAATTTTGACCAAAATTTAGATTTTCCTCTTTTTACTGATTATCTCACATATTTATATCAAATCAAATTCAGATTCATTAAATTTAAATCAAATTTGAATTTGAATTTTTCAAATTCGTTCAAATTTGAATTTATATTTGAATTGATTTATCAGATTCAGATCAAATTTAAATTTGAATTCTTCAAATTTGGATCAAATTAAATTTAACTTAAATTTGATCTGATTTGATCTATGCAAAATACTAGGTTTTCTTAATAAATAAATTAATTATCAAAAAAATAAAACTAAATTTCTATATTAAATTATTTGAAATATATATTTTCATACTATTATTAGTTTAGTTTATTCAAAAATTCTAAATATTAATTTATTATATATATATTTAATAATTGTTTTAGTCTTGAAATTATTATTTATTTTTTTAACTATAATAAAATTTTTTAAAAATGTTATTTTAATAACTTTTAATCAATATAAAATAAAACCTTAAAAATATATATATAAGTTTAAAATACTTTGTGATAGGAAAAATAAATTTATTTTTATTATTTAAATTGTAATATTGTTAAATAATTTTTTTTTAAGATGTATAACTCAGAATTAAAAATGAATCAAATCTATTAACCTTTAATAGCTAAATGATCTAAGTGATCAAATCCATTGGTAATCTATTAGATCTAAATAATATAATATATATGAATAGATTATTGGTTAATGAATTATAATAGATGATAATCTATTAGTATCTATTAGCCAATATATGTGATATAATTATTATTGCTAAAGATAGCTTTTCAACCTATTTTTAAAAATAGTTGCAGTCGTAGTCTAAATAAAATATAGAGTTCAGATTGTAGATTGCAATTAGTAAGGTCTAGTTGCATTGTCATCTTTAATTATCAAAAAAATTGCAATAAAAGTCAAATGCAAGCAGAATTACTTGTTTTTAAAAGCTTATTATTTATGAATCATGAATATTAGAAATATAATTTTATATTTATTTTAATTCTTAAACATTATTGTATATCTAATAAAATTTCAAATATGATTATTAATATCAATTTTATATAATTTAGTAATTTATATTAAATATTAATAGTTAACATTAATATAAAAAATATTTTTAGCAAATTAGCTACTAAATAAATGTTATTAGATTACAATTCTTCTCAATACAGTAATTATAATAAGCTAAAATTTATTCAAATTAGATCAGTGATTTGCAAAAAAATGAACTATAAAATCACAATGCATTATATAAATTTAATTTAACCAAATTTTTTATATTATTATATGATCTTATAGATCATTTTTTGCTAATTTATGGATCTGATTTTGATGAAATTTTGCTTATTGAAATCATTTCACTAAGAATTAGAATTTATATTAATCTTTTAATAGCTGGCCTACTGAAAACTATTTCTATATTAAATTAAATTTAATATAGATTAATAAATTATATAAAATTGTTATTAATAATTAAATTTCAAATTTTATTAAAATATGCGCTAATATTTAAAAATTAAATAAACATTAAAATTATATTTCTAACATTTATAATTGATAAGTTATAAATTTAAAATCAATTCAATTTATATATAACAAATTAGCCAATTAAATTAACGTTAAATATCTCAATAAATCTAATATCTCTTATAGATTCATTGGACTTACTAAGATTCATTAAATCCATTGGGTTATTAGACTAACTTTGATATAGTTAAGTAATATTATAAGGGGTTTTTAGCTTAAGCTATTTTTAAGAATAAAATAAGTCTTATAAGATTTTCTTATAGATTAATTACACTATGACATAAATAATGCAATTATTAACTTATATCTTGCTATAATTTGAAAAAATATTTTATTGATTTTATATACAGTAATTGTACTAATATAATAGTATGTTATAAGATATGCAAATTTACAAGTAGCTGAATGCTAAACTATTTGATATACTTGAAATGATATTTTCTGATTATAGTCTAAATTAAGAAAGTTATTTTTTTACTTTACATTTTTTTTTTATATTATATTATAAATAATTGTAATTTTTCTTTTTATTCTTCAAAATCTATATAACTAATATAGCAACTATCTTACTGTTACTAGCTATAAAATAAATTTATCAAATAGTAAAGCCAAATGATTTATTAGGTTTCTTTTCTTTTATTAAATATTTTACTAATTAAATATATCTTTCTATATTTAAAAAAATTATGCAAAAAAAAGCCAATTTGTTCATTAGCACTAATATTTTTATTTATCATCTTTTGTAAAAAAAAACAGTTTCAATTTGCTATTATGAATGTTATTGACTTTCATTTATATAGTTTTTAAAGTAAATATTGAAGTTGATCGCATTATGCATTTTATTGCTTTATAAGCATAACTTCTTTAACTATAAATTAAATAATTTATCACAAAAATCTAAAATATAATAAAAGTTTATATTTTTTATGATTTTTATCTTTTAATAATTATAATATTTGCTTATATATAATAATATTTTACTTCTTTCTATTTAATTCTTAAAAAATTGGACTAAATGTAGAAATGTCAATATTATTTTTAGAAATTCTGCAAGATACTTCTTATGCAATTTGATTTAAGTCTTTTGATACCTCTATTTCTTTATTTTCTATTTTTTTTATTAAATCTTCTGATCTTACAAGATATGTATAATTTAGTTTTTTTTGTTAATTTTTCTAATAAATACCTGAGAAAAAACTTTTTTATTAACTTTGCAGAAATTTCCCAAGCTCAAATTAAATATTTTATAACATCTGTTTGGCAAGAAATATTGTGAAGATTCCAGTTGATTTGAAGATCCAGTTTTCAAATTTGGCTCAACATTTTCTTTAAATAAATCATTTGATTAAAATATCTTTAGTATGTTACAAATTAAATGCAATAATATACAATATATTTACCATTTTTTTTGCCTTTAGCTTTTGTTTTGCATGATTTTCTGGTTTTGGTGGTAAAATTTCGAAAGTATCTAAATCTGCTTGTGTATCATCATTCTTCTTTGAATTTCTTGTTACTAGTTTGTCTACAAAAAAAAAGTTGACTTTATAAAAATAAAGAAATCTATACTTACAGGAAGTGTATTGCTTTTTTGGTGACATTTTGATTTAATATTTCTATTGAAAAGATGATTAGTAACGAGTAGAAAAAAAGGTTACAATATATTTATTTATTTCCATAACAATGTATCAATAATATCATAATAGTGTAAATTAGCCTTTTGATAGAATCATGCGTAACAAATTATGTCGCAGTAGCAAACACGTAAAATGATAAAATTAGCTATTAAATTAGCTTATATAGTATTTATTTAGAAGCTATAATTTTATATATTTATAATCCTTAATTACCACCAGTATTTTAATAATTTATGTCAGATTCCTAAATTTTTAATTCAGAAGATAATAAAGTGCAAAAAAACGCGTGCTATTGCCAAATATTTGCATACTTAGAAATTTATTCATTTTAGCAAAAGTTATACATGGTAGAGCATCAAGTCCTAGGATAAATTTTACTTCTAAGAATACCATAGCACAACATATCGAGAGTCACCAATAATCTATCTGGCGAACTAAAAACGATTACAGAGCTTATAGATTTAAAAGCCAAGGAAAAGTCTAAAGAATTAGCATTGTTGCGAAAACTAAAGAATAGTGTTTTACACTTTCTCATAAATGTGAAATGCTAGCGAAAATAGTGAATATGCTACACCCTGTCACTTTGTATATGAAAATGAAGAGCATTCAGATATTGAGTGCCTGGTCTCATTTAACTCTGCGACATGCATATCTTACCATTAGATTATTTGATTAAGGTCTGCTGATTCTGGAGAAGGAATTAGATATGTACCTTCCTTATGATAGAAAATTTACTCACAAACTTTGTATATTACAGACACCTGTGAAATCATCAATATTACAACAAAATGTAAAGTCAACATTTTTGTTCGTGTTTACCAAGTCTGTATAAAACTCATCAATTAATTCGATATGAACTGATTTTATATCTAGGACAAGGGTGGCAGATATGATTTAAGAAAACGACAATATATTGATTACAATAAGACATAAATGATAAAAAAGTAACATAAAATGAAAGATCAAGATGAAAACTTTTCTGCAGAAGTTATATCAATTGATCACACAATTTAATATTTCAACATGTCAGACCAGAAATAGTCCTTAATAGGAAATCACAAGATCAATATTTGGAACCAACTGATGATGAAACCAATGAAACAGGGGATGCTCGCGAAAAGTCTCCCTCAGTAATTGCTCTTGAACGTTGAGATAAAATGAAACAAAAGTGTTAACAACACTTACGATGTCACAAAACTTAACGGATATATATGAAAAGCTTTAGGACAGTCGAAAATAGTGTCTTTCTACCAGAAAGGTTGTAGAGAACGATCTCTACAATTTTGCAAGCAAATGCTCATATAAACAGTATGTATCATGTGTTATGTGTATGAAGTTGTAAACCCATAATTTATAATCTCACGCCCTTATATTTTCTTTTCACAAGTGCTTCGCATAGCTTCATGATTGATCTTACTGATCAGTCATATATCAAAGAAGATATTTTCACAGAGGATGAACTTAATGAAATCAAGACACATATAAAACGTGATTTGCAAGAAATTTCAAAAAATTTTCTTGGTTATTTAATGACATTTGCTTTATTTGCATAGAAGGAATAAGTCTTGACATTTTGTTTTCTAATAACGCATTATTCTAAAAAAAATATATAAGAAGGAGGAGGAAAACCGATACGGTATAGTTCGGCTGATCAGTACGGTATAGTTATGCAGATCGGTACGATCCTCCAAATTTTGATTGTACTGTACTTTATTGAGACCAGTATGGTAGATTATATATTTGAATAAAACACCGTATTGTATCGTACTGGTCTCAATAATATTATAGAATCAGTACAGTATGATTATAATTTGAAAATTCGTACTGATCTGCAAAATCGTACCATACCAGATTTCCCTATACTCATTCACGAGAAGAGCATATTACATGATATAAGGTACACGATAGATCAATCAATTAAAGCTATATAAGAAGAATTTAATCCGAAGAAATACCACGATTATGATTGGGTCAGATATGCAATATATACGATGTAAGCAGTGATGTCCATTTTCTATGTCCCAAGTATTTGCTGTCCCAGCTATATGTCCCAACTATATGTCCCAACTATGTCCCAACTATGTCCCAAATGTCCCATCTGTCCCATCAATGTCCTATCAGTATCCCATCAGTATCTTAACTATGTCACATGACAACACTGGATGTAAGTAATGACGAAAATAAAAGTTTATCATATTTACAAAATATTGATATTTAAATTTAATTTATAGTTTACAGGAGTATGAAACCAGATCCATTAGGAAAGACTACCATGAACGATGGTATAATATGCATTTCTGATGTTCGATTGTTGGTAGATGCTTTTCCTATATTGATGATATGAATACAATTCGGTATGAACTTGTTTCATTAGCGAAAATTTTAAAAAATGAAATCTTTATCACATATACATTAATTTTTAGTGATGAGTCTTGCAGGATCGCTTCAAGCATACGAAAAAATGCCGACTATACCACATCTGGAATAAATAAAATGGAAAGGCAGAAGATTAAACAGGAAAGAAAATCATTGAATTTGGAGTATGACGGTGCGGAAGCTGGCAGAACTTATAAAATGAATAAGGACACAAAGTGACTCGTGGAAAGTGGGCTTAAGCTGCTGAAATTACTAAAGGATATGAATGGTCAACTCCGATGTTACTTAATCCGAAAACAGTCAGATTTGTACACGCAGTTGAGTGATGAATTTTTTCTGTTGATCATTTTATTTTGCGTCTTTTGATATCTATCTTAATTAAAGATGGTACATCAATTGATTTCAAATTTACAAAATGTTGCAACATAAGCTAAAATTAGTTGCAACATATATAGGTTAAAACTAATTGCAACGTAAGTTGCAACATTAAAAGTTGCAACATATTAATTACAGTTCTTATCTTTAATCTTAATAGTTTCTTACCTGAAAGACCGCAGGCAAATGTTGCTGGAGCTAAATTGTCCTAAAGGGTATATGTGTCATTTGAGTTATGGTAACATCTACAAAGTGGCCGACTCTATAATTACACACTCTACCGAGACGTTACCACTAAGGTAAATGAATGTCTTTTTCTTTACAATATATATTGCACTTTTCGCAATCTAATCTCTTGTATACACGAATATTATTGTAGGCAGCTATTCAAGAATGCTTCAATATAATTCAGAGATGAATGGTTAAGATTGATGATGATAAAGTATTATCACAGATACTTTGCTATAATTGAGCTGCATAGGCTATACGTTCAGTACTAGAAAAATACTTGTTTTAAATAATCTTATAGCGCCATTTTCTGTAGTAATTTATCATTATTTTATATTCTAAATCACCATGAATTTATATAATTTTCATTATTTATCAAATTTATAAATTTTAGTTCTTACTTTCTTTAAATTGATACTTATTGTGCACTCTTCTTAATATAGTATGTATTTTAAGCATCGTCAAATCTACTGAGTATATCCACAGTAAATTTATTGTGCTTATTGATGTATTGTCTATTTCTTAAAACACAATTATTTCGGAGGTACAATACATTAACATTAAAGTCTCTCCTCAACAGCCAATCATATTCTTTGAGTATGGATTAATTAGTTGCGGCAATTTAAATATGTAATTAATAGGCATGTTTTTCAATTATGTACTTGAGCAAAAGTAACCTATTTGATATATACTCAGAATTAGATTTTGATAATTTAATTTTTTTTGCGCGTTTTAATGCGCTTTCCATTTCTTTTAAAAACGACTGTAGGTAATTTGAATATTATAATTATTTAAAAATATTTGACTCACTAAATGAATAAGAGTGAACTTATTAAATTTTAATTAGGCTAATCTTTAGTTTAGGATATGTGAAACCTCTCTGAACATCTTGTATGATAAATCTAGCAAGAACAGATTGAAAAAAAGAATTTAATTCATTAATAACTAAGTAATACGGTTCATAGCTGTAGTATTATTTTTACTACATATTTTATTTATTTTATATTTTTTTCGATACCATTTATAATTAAAATTTCCAATCGTTATAAAAATAGTGAAACCTTACGTTCCAATTATAATTCTAATTATAAATCCCGTTTTACTTGATTTAAAAGATTCATCATAATAATATATTAATTATGTATATGCCGTGACTAATTAATTAATAAATTTTAACTGGTAATGGAAGAGTTTATATATATATTCTAAATTAATGTTGGTGGGACAATGATTCAACAAATAATGAAATTATTATAACAGTTAAGTATGATTATAAATATTGCGATATTAATAATGCGAATGTCTAACTCAGACCGTCTATGTAACAAAGTAAGCTCATGGTATGAGCTTTATTAATAAAATCCCTTCCACCATTCTTATCTAGTGGGCTACCGTACTTTCCTTTCTTCCTAATTTCTCCCAAATCTCTCATAGCAGAAATACAACCTTGGTTTGCAGCCTCCTCTAAAAATTGGATCGCAAGTTGATGGTCTCTGTCATCTTTTTTGGCTTTTAGTTTATAATTTGAATTTAAAATTACTTCAGCGTACCAATATTGAGCGTTACGTTGACCCTTTTTCGCTGCCTGATATAAATATTTTAAACTTGAATCTGGATCTGGTATGCCACCACGGCCCTCATGATGACCCTTGAGGTAATAATATCCTACACAAAATTTTGCTTCAGGTGTTCCAGTTTTTCTTTCAATTGTTTTAAATAATTTCCATGCTTTCTTATATTGCCTTTTATTATGTAATTTAATCGCTTCTTCAATATCTAAATGTTTGCGGAATGGATTAAACTTGTCTAAAGCTTTAGATTTTTTCGCAACATGTGTTGTAACATTTAAATCGACGGTATTATAATTTATACTTGAATAATCTGAATGAATCGAGGAAGCACTATCTTCAAATGAAGCATCATCTTTAAATGCAGCATTTGGCGAAAGAATGTTGTCGTTATAATCTCCGATTTTATTTCTATGTAATCCTGAATCCAATTTATTCAATACTTCAAATACTTCTTGAATGGTCGGTCGACTTCTTGGATTTAAATCCCATCCTTTCTTCATTATTTCTTGATATTCGACTGGTACGTTATTAGTTGTTTCAGGTTGTGGATGTTCTCCATTGAGAACCTTGGTTTTAATATCTTTATGATCAACGTTATGGAATGGTAATTTGTGATTAATGATTTCCCAGAGAATTAAGGAAAAGCTATGAAAGAAAAAAGTAAACATTAGCGTTTTTAATTTATTTTATTTTTAAAAGAAATTAAAAATAATATTACCTATATATTTCGCTAGGTTTAGTGTATTCTTCATCCCGAAATTTCTCAGGAGAAGTCCATCTTGGATTCGTATTATCATTGGTCGTTTTCATTATGATTGACGAATCTTTTGCGATACGAAAACCACAAAGTTTAGGTTGTAAAAAAAAATCCAAGTAAATATTATCACTGGTATATAAAAGAATTAAGTTATAAATTTAGGAAAAGCAATTAAAAATTGTTTAAATTATATTGTTAGAAAATATTATACCTTGTAATATCATAATGTAATATTTCTTTTGTGTGAATGAAATTCAACGCGTCGGCAATTCCGCGTGCGATCGATAATTTCTTTGTCCATTCCAAATTCGGATTCATCTCAAGATAAGGATGTAGTTTATGTTCACCCCATTTCATAATAACGCTCCAATTAGGGTTACGATGAACGAGTCCATGACTTTTCAAATGTTGTCACGTGAGAAAGGAATTATGACGTACTTGAAAACAAAAATAAAATTATACTAAAAATACTTACACTTTGAGTATATGTTCACATTCACTGAGCCTTTTCAGATAATCAATTTCTTCTCGTAACTCAAGAAGTTTTGGATCATTTTTTTCAAATTTTCCAACTAGTTTTTCGGCTATTGATGCACTGTACATGTAAAGTCCTTTTTTAATATTATCACTTCCAGGAACAACCGATGAGTTCTCTGTATCGACAAAATATGATGGAATTTCACAGTCCATCTTAGATGATGGCGAAATTGATTTATATAATATCAACATTTTAACGGCCGCTTTAAATTTTCTTTTAGTCACTCTGCTTCTACTAAGTTCGACTTTCCATTGTTGAACCAATTTAAGTAATTTTTTTGTTTTGTTGTCTAATTCATCATTTAACCTTGATACTTCTTGTTGAACCTATATTCAATTAAATATAAAAATAAAATTATATATATTTTTTTTTAATATGTTACACAAATCAAAAAAAAATATCATATACTGTACCTCAGCGTCATTAAATTCTATAAAGGCCTTAGCATCCACAATATTCAATAAATAATTAGTATACTTCTGAAAAGCCGAAGATTCTTCGATGTAATCCTTCCAATAAAGGTTAGTTGATTGACCGATAGTTTCCTTGATTTCATCAAGCATGATCTTCCCAACCTTAATAATATCCACGCTTCTATCAAAAAGATTTCTATTATTTTTTGCATCTTCAAACAAATCTAATACCGCTTTACAAGTGTCTATTGTTGACGATAAATCTGTTAATCTTGAAATTGGGAAATCAAGTAATTTTGAGTTCATTGGTGAAAAAGTTGATGTTTGAAAATCGGGCTGTGATTTGTCAACATCTCCAATTCTAGGTACCCTATGACCAAGCCATTCTTTTGATTCACACTCACTCAATAAATCAAGCATTTGTTGAGCGGTTGGACGGTTATTTGGGTTAATATCCCAACCTTTTTCCATTATTTCCTGATAATCTACGGGTGTGCCATTGGTTCTCTCGGGTTGCGGATGTTCTCCTCCGAGAACCTTGCTTTTTATTACATCAGAAGACATGTCGTTGAACGGAGTATTATTATTAATGATTTCCCAAAGAATCAAGGAAAAGCTATTCCGACAAATATGTTTGATTTGAGTAAAATATTAAAAAAAAAAAATTTGACATAAATTTATTACGATGTCAAAGCATTACCTATAAATTTCGCTGGCTTTAGTATACATTTTATCTCTAATTTTTTCGGGAGGGGTCCATCTAGGATCTGTACTTTCAATAGCTGAAGTTAACATAACCGGTGAAATAGATGAACCTTCCGCTAAGCGAAATCCATGAAGCTTAACTTGCAAGCAAGCGTTCAGGTAGATATTATCGCTATTAAATTAGAAATTAATAATAATTTTGATTATGGGATTTTATTTAGAACATGAAACAGTATGATATTCACCTTCTAATGTCATAGTGTAAAATTTCTTCTTTATGAATAAAATTCAAAGCGTCAGCAATCCCACGTGCGATCGATAGTCTTGTTGTCCATTCCAGATTCGGATTCTCCGCAAGATATGTTTGTAGGTTATAATCACCCCATTTAGAAATAACACTATAACTTGTATTTCGACGAATGAACCCATAACTATATAAAGTAATAAAACATACTTGTAAGGAAGATGGTTACTTCATATAATGTCATGAAAAAGAAATTTTCTTTTTACTTATACTTACAAAGTTAGAACAAATCCACAATTACAAATTTTATGAATGTATTTGGCTTCTTTTTCCAATTCATGAAGTCTTGGATCATTTTTTTTGAATTTTCCAATTTCCTTCTCAGCCACAGGTGAGTTAAAGAACATCCTTTTTTTAACACGACATTCACTTCCATAGTTATCAAGTGAATCCGTTGGTTTAATTAAATCTGAACTGATTTCAAAGTTCATTAATGTTATATCATCCATTTTTGGATAATTTTATAATTTTCTGAATTGATTTTGTTTTTATAAAAATAAAAAGAAAAAATAAAAAATAAATAAATAAATAGATAAAAAAAAAATTAAAAAGAAAGAGCAATTTTCTTTGGGTTTAAATAATTTCCAAAACATTAATGAAATAAAAATATTCAATAACACCTTTTTTTGGGAACAAAGTAGTTCCCAAGAAAGCCTTGTTTGATCTTTGTTTTGCGTTCTACATGAAATTACATAATAAAGCAATTAAAAATTTAGTTGACAATGAAATTTTATGTATCTCATGCATTGTGCTTAAATTTGTGATCACAATTTGCAACGTTAGGGAACATTTTTAGTTTGTACGTAAATTGGTTGATTGTAAAACACCGAAAATGGATATACAATTAAGGATAAATAAAAATTTTTCTGATATTCCGTAAAAAAATATTCTATGTTGTACTACACTTACTTATTTTGTATATTCTCAATCGAATGCAACAGGAAAAACTTTTAGTCGTTTGTCGGTACAGATAATCTATGGTTAAAAAAAAAAAAAAAAAAATCATTATTTCATCATGGAATTAAAAAAATGAATAACCGGTCCCTGTCACACGACTACTTTAAATGGCCGATTTAAAATACCTATAATTGATTATTAAATTCTAAATAAATCTTTGTACCTTCTGATTATTAAATAGTTTAATAACAAATACACACACTATCACAATTATTTTGAATGATTGAGCGATTCTTAAAGTTTAGATGTTTCCTTTTTAAGTTTTAATTTGTCATAAATAATGATTTCCCATCGCTCTATTAATTTAAAATTTATCTAGTGTAAAGTGAGATTTTAAAAATAAATTGTTGGTAAATCTTTTGTAAAATTTTTCTGCAAATATACCTATTCTATAGAATCCAAATTTCGACGGTAAAACCATATGGAAAAGGATCTGTCCGGGAGTAGTTGCAGCATTCGATACGTTTTGGCATTTGATGTATTAAATAATCTTGGCTTTTTCATGCATATATTTCATGTATAAATAGATACAATCTCGGCATTACACCAATTAAGAAGCATGTTTGTGCAGTATAGTGCATGGTTGCAAGATTCGTTTTTTAATTTTTTTTTGTTCATCAAATATTGAATTTTAATTTTTCACTTACCAAATGGTTTACTTTATTGATTTCATTTGAGCTGGTTAACTGGTTAATCATGGCCTGTCACAAAAAAAAGCGTATAATGCCCTAGATGAAAACAACCAAAAAGAGTTTCGCCAAAAATCATGAAAATCAGTAAAAAAAATATCCTTGTTGCATATAAGGAATGCGATATATATCGTAAAAAAAATTAAATCTCGTAGAATAAATCGATTAAAATATTAACTATCCAATTAAAATGCGCAAAGAATATAATTATAGTAAATAAATAATTATTTCTTTGCTTTCCCAATATGGGTCATTTGCTATTAAAATTGGATTATAAAACATAATAAATCATATGATCCGAACTAGTGCTCCGTAAGGGTCGGGTTTGGAGCAAACTCGAACTCGAACCCGTTAATATTTACATCGACTCGATCCGATTATTGTTCGACCCGATCCGGTTATTGTTTAACTCGTATTCGACTCGAATTTTGAGTTAATATTAATATCAAAAGTAAAAAAAATTTTTTATTTATGTATATAATGAAAAATGTGTATTAAATTTTAAAGTTTTTTACTTTGGTTATACATTAATTCAAATTAGATTTTTGAAATATATTATTGGCTCCAGGAATTCGAACACATACATGCGCAGATTTATCGTCTTTAAGTCTAAAATCATTCAATAGCAACACTCGTTGATTATTAAAATAATTTCTTTTCTATTTGGATGATTGTGCTCTAAATAACGACATATTTTTGTTTTATTTGAATATTTGAATTACCAATATTGCGGAGCCACGTTTTATGTTCACTAATATTTTTGAAAAAAAAATATATCAACCTATAATATATGTGATTTTGAACTTTATATTCAGGTGGAAGAAGTTTCTCTTCAAAAGCTCTTTGGCAAAAAGTTCGCTTCTCAATTCTTTTTGATTTCCAAGAGAAGCTGTCATTTTAAAATTGCGCATGTCACATATCATTAACATTTAATAGCATCACCTGATCATTCGGGCCACCCGGGTAGTGTTTGAAGTTGATCTGAGTCAGTCATTATCGGTTAACTAGTTGATTTAATCAGCTGACTATAGAGTCGATCAGCTTTAGCAGTTATTAGTTAATCCGTTTTTATTTAATTACTAGCTGTGACCTGGCGCGTTGCGCCAGGCTTTAAGTAAAAATAATTGTGATTAAATTTATAAATTATTTTTTATATTTATTATGGTAATAAAACAGATAATAAATAAAATAAATATATATAATTTATATAATTATATATAGTAAATAATTGTGATTTTTAATAGTATGTTATCATTGTTTTATATAGAATGAAATATTACATGGTATACAATGTTTTTAGTTTGGCAATTATTACTATCATCTGTAAGAATTTTAAGATGCTGATATGAAGTCACTCTTGATAGAGCAACATACAGTTGACCATGTGAAAAAACAGGTTAAGGTAAATAAATACCAACCCTGTTTAAAGTTTGTCCTTGTAATTTATTGATTGTCATTGAAAATGCAATACATATAGGAAATTGACGCTGATTTAAAATGAAGGGTAATTTAGTTTCTGATAGAGTTAATGTAATACATGGAATAAATACACATTTACCAATATGTGATCCTGTTATAATCTCAGCATCAATAACTCTACTTTGAAACCCACGACAAATCAGTCTAGTTCTATTACAAAGACCTTCTGATGGATTTAAGTTTCGTAGGAGAATGATGGGTATTTCTAACTTTAACTTCAATTCACCAGGAGGAAGTTCAGGAATTTTTAAAGATCTTAAAAATTCAGGTGAATAAGTTTAGGGTTGTTCTACTGTACTATCATCTGGTAAATTTACTAAATCAGCACTAGGATATAAAATAACTTCACCAGATATTATTTTCATTATAATATCTGAAATAATTTCAACATTGATATTTTTAGGAGTTAAGATTGCTTTGCTAATCATATAATTAGTATTGCCAGAATTTTCAATCAAATCTGAATAAACAAAATCAATTAGGTTTGTTAGAGTTTCTTTATGTATTGTTATATCTGAAGGAAGTGTTATTATATTTTCTGTATTAAAATTAATTGTATATATTCCATCACCAACTTTTAAAAGGAATTCTGCAAATTGCTTTAGTTTTAGATTTTCTAATGAATTAGAGGTTTGTTGAAGTCTCATATTTGTTGATAATTTCATCATTTTAATATGAATCCATAAAGATGATCGAATTAAACTTGTTGAAACAATATCAGCATGAAGTGAATGTGGTATAATGGGTAAGACTTATCGAAAATCTCAACCAAAAACAAATATCTTTCCACTAAATGGTTTGTTTACTTGTGTAATATCTCAAAATATTCGATTAATAGCTTCAAATACAAACTTATGCATCATAGAAGCTTCATCCCAAATAAAAAGCTTTGCTATATTAATTAAACGTGCTAATTTATTATTATAAGAAATTTTACATGTTGAAAATTCATCTATTTTAAATGGAATTTTAAATCGAGAATGTGCTGTTTTACTACCACTCATTAATAATGTAGCAATTCCAGAAGATGCTACTGCTATTACAATTTCACCTTGTGACCTAAACTTTAGCTAGTAAAGTATTGTAAAGAAAAGTTTTTCCACTACCAGCTGGACCATCTATAAAGAAATAACCACATTCATTATTAATTGCTTGGATGATTTTGTTATATATTGAATGCTGTTCTTTATTCAATAGAGGAACATTT